AAGCGAATAAACACTGAGGCCTGGGAAGAAACCATTCTGCTCCCTTGTGGGTTCAAGAGCCGGTTAATTGTCTCTAGTGGTCTCTGAGCTAGAGATCTGTTAAGCAAAGACACGAGTAGGCAAAACAGCTCAACTGCCAGAACATATGGGAAGTGTTATAACTGCAGGCACCAAGATGGCCCTTCACAGTTCTTACCATCCACTTAAATGTTTTCAAAACATACTTTCATTTGCAGAAAGATTCAACAAAAGGTGTTTCAGACACTCTGTGCAATGCCACTATGCCCAAACATTCTGACTCAAAAATCTATTTTCTTGTGTGCCTTTTCACTGAATCTTCTGGATACTTGGATTAACTTTTATTCTAGATAACCAAATACACAGTTAAATTTCTATTAGTGTAGACAGGATCAGGTACAAAAGAGTCTAGTCAGAAGTACTAGAAGATCCTCTAACCTTTCCATAAGTCTAAAGATGGTAACTTTGTATGCTATTATATAAAGTTACCATCTTTTACCTAATTATCAAGCAGATTAGAACCTGATATTTTATAACAAAATGCTTCACAGCACCAAACTTCTCCTGACAAACAACCTGAGAAATCCAAACAATGCATCCCCATTATATGAAATGATCTACACTGCACAGTACAGCTAATTTGTGCATGCATTTCTCAGGAGCACTAAGTTTCTTGCATAACTGTTTCACAAAGTATTTTAACACACATCATCCATTTTCTCGCTGACTTTAGAAGCTTTTATTATACTGCTCTTGCCAGAGTGACTTTCCAACATCTTCAATCTCTGGTCCTTAAAGGAGACAGACCTATATTATGTTATGAATCACCCTGACAGACACCTTTGGCATTTATGCAGTATGAGTTCAGCCTCATTGCCATGTACTGCTGCTGCAAACCACTGGCAGATAACAACTGTGCAGAACACTTGTACTGCAAATTTTGATTGTACTGTAGAATATTACTATGGCCTTTTATGCAAAAAATATTTACACTTATGCTAGAACAATTTATTATGGATAACTCGGCTCGTCATGCATCATGCACCAACTGCATCAGGAAGTAAACTTTAACAAACCATCAACCTTGATTTTGTTCACTTAATAAATGTTGAGTTCATCTGACTCCACCTGTATTTCTAACATGATTACACTGAAATGCTCATCTTCAATTCTGAACTTGATCTTAAATATACAATAGTTCTGCTCTAATTGACTGCAGCATTACTTGAGTATTTTTAGAGGGATTGAGGTGTCTTTGATGGCCACAATAACTCCACCATGGTCCAAGTAAAGGATGTGATGTTCTTCTTCAAAGACCTGCAAGCCAGACAAAAAAAAAAGGCCAGCTAAGCAAATATATCAAACAGCAAAAGAGTTTGAGCAAACGATGGCTAAAAGACTTATCTTTTATAATGTCTGCAATTTAAGTTAAAAAGTCAATTTAATTTGTATAGCTACCCCAGCTGTAAAAGAAAAAAAAAAACTTTCAAATTCAAATGTAACTATCAGATAGTCAGATTTAACTATCTACAGTGATCTCAGCCCAACATTACATCTTTCACAGTGTGCATTCTGCATTCTTTCCCATTATAGATCACTAAGGAATCTATCACCTTATTTTAAATATACTCTGTGAATCTTACAAAAAGAAATGAAAAATGAGGAAATAAAAAAAAAAAAAGGAAGACTATAAAACATTGTTATCTGTGACTCTCACATGTTCTCCAGACTCTATAAAACTTTAAAGAATTGGCATAGGCATATTTTCTGCATTTCCAGTATTAATGACATTTTAAATTGAATCTCTATGTGATCTCACTACGAAGCCACTCTGAGTTTGGAATCAAAATACATATAATGGTGACTCGATATAAAGGATTCAAAATTTCCTAAGTTATTTTCTGGAGGTCATCAGCAGCACTAAAATAAATGAACAGATAAACACCTTTCCTCTTTTACATCTAAAACCTGTTGCAAGGCAGAGGTTACTCACACTATTAGTCTCAGAAAGCTCATTTAAAACAGTGATAAAAGTGAGAGCTACCATCGACTTAGTATTTAATTCACGAACATACAGAATCCACACATTCTGGCAAAGCAAAGGTGAAAAACATAAAGGTTAGTTTTGCCTCTTGAATGAGAACATACAGACAATACACATTTAGAGGATTTATCAGTAAAAGATTGAACCAGATGGGGGAAAAATCTTTATCTTGCAGAACATCCACAACTACTTCAAAAATAGTGAGCATTTCATTTGGGTTCAACATCAAAATCTCTCATCCAATAATATTTAGTGGGAATCCTAGAGCTTCAAGTGTCTGATCAGCTCTTCAGTGTTGCCAGTTTACAGGCAAACACTCACATGAGGCATTTACAGTCCTATCTATTTATTCCACACAGCTGTGTATTTTAGAAGGGAATTCAGTAAAGGACAGTCATTAATTTTAGATGTACCTCAAAAGGATGAGATCAGTTGGAGTCAGATAAGCAAGCAAAGTTTTGATTTTTCTCCAAACTCTGTTTGAACTTCTGCTGAACTCAAATTGAAACAGTATATGCTGGGATATAAAGTTTCTGAAAGCTTCACCCTCATATTGATGATAACAAAACTCAGCATCTGTATCACTTCATCCAAATTAGGTTTCTCTATCTCTTGGAAAATGACCAGGGCACTTCCTAGTGCACCATTTTAATACCCCAGCTTTATCTGCTTGAACTGTAGCATACCATAAGGCACCCTGGACATTTCCTAATCATATTAACGTGATCTTGCTGTCATCCTCTACTTGTTCACACTTCAAACACTTTATATCCAAAATGTACTAAGTTCCTTTTGAAAGCAAATTTTCATCTCCAGTATGTTGAAAAGAATCCACCGCTATAAAGTGGAGTGCATTTGTCTATACAGTTGAGTACTTGTCTCTACTTTCCAGAAACAATATCAAGACAGACAGTTTGTAAGGGATCTATGCGAAGGTGGCCCTGGTTTCAGAGCCTAAGTCAGAACCGAGGAACAAGCAATATGTATGTTTACAGGCAGCCATGAATTCTGATATATAAAATTAAATCTCTCCACTAACTAATCTAGCAAATTTATTATGATTTCCAGTAGTAGTTAGCTACTCTCGAACTAAATTATTATATTTTCCTTTTTTTTTTTTTTTTTTGAGAATGTCATGGGTTTCACAATAATAGTGTCAGCTTTTCTCCCTCTTTCTTGTTCTGTGTTTGTTCCTGTATCCAGAGATCTAAGTTCTAAGGCTTTTCTTTGTAATCTTGGAAGATTAATTGACCATTCTGTGTCTTGACTGGCTACTTTTCTAACAGATCAAACATGGAAGTTTTGTAACTGTTTTTGCTTTAAACCCACTTCTTTTGAAAACCAGACCTCTGACTCACTGTGTTTGCTCTGCTTCAAGCACAATGTTTTAAGAAATACTTTTGAAATAGCAATAGCAACAAGAAATGTGAACAGAAATCAGTTCTTAAAAAAAAGTCCAACACACTCAGATGTCTACATAGGGTCATGTTCAGCATTTAACAGGCTATTCTAACATCTCAAAAATCAAGACTAAAAAAGAAATAAAAAACAGTCCCCACAGGGAAAAAATGTGTAAAACCAGGACAGTCTGAAATGCTGTTCAAATCTAGGTCATTTTTTCCCCAAGATGCATGTCTATGATAATGTCAAGATTAAATTCCCCTCTCCTGCACAAACTCCAGATCACTCTTGTTGTATGGACATTTAAGTTGCTTGTCAATCAGTGAGTAAACTATTGCTATTTTACTATGCCATGTTGTGCAGTACAAAGTCACAAATTTCGATTTGTCTTAAAATGTTAAAAGCAATGTAATGTTCTCAAAAGACATCCACAAGCAGCTCAAGCATCACGTAACTGAGAAGCCAGCCCAAGTTGTACTGTGGCTACTCCTAATCAAAAGCCTTGTTTTATTTTTTGATTTATCAGAAATATTTTTTTAATTTCACAGTGGTTTCTTGTTCAGACATTTTTTTTTCTGCTTATCAACACTAGTTATATATCCCACCACTGTTAAGTCTTCATGAACTCTTCCATGTGACATTACCATAGGCAAATTATGTAAATATGAGTTTAGTTGAAATGTTTGTAAGAAGTGTACACAAATAGCTGGGAAATTATTGAGGGAAACTGAGCAATAGATTGTTATTAACTTGATAATTTATACAAATTCTGTGACCCAAAGACTGATTCCTGTTTTGGTTTACAAACTGAATCTCAGTCAATAATGTGATGCAGAAATCAGGTGAAATCATCTCATTGTATTTAGCATTGTTAACATTTGTAATACTGCATTCAGTTTTATTGTACTCCAGGAGAGGAATAACAGATTAGGGAGTGCGAAACAGAAAGCAAAAAGAGGGAGAAGAGGTTTAAGAATTTGACCCAATAAGAAAAGTTGTTTGCTTTTCTTTTTCTAACCCTGGGTAGACATGATAATGATCTTTCAATATCTATAAGGTTATTCTAAAGTGACAGAGAACCACTGTTCTCCACAGACTGGAATAGATAAGCTTAACTTCCAAATCTTATGAAACCGCAATAACAAGAGCAAAAATAAAGACAGTCTATATTAATTATTCAGAAGGATCTACAAAGAATGGGGAAGCACTACAAATGAAGCTCGGAGCATCTCCTTCAGTGAGGGATTAATGAACAGGCCAGGCAAACCTCTGCTACAGATGCTACAGGTATATCTGATGCTGCCCCAGAACTGGTGGTTGGACTGCATTAATCTTTAATAGTCCTCCTAGTTCTATATTCCTAAGAGTCTTAGTGCCAATATTGTTATTACTTCAGGATAGCTTGTATTTATCACTCTCATTACCCTTTAATTTCCTTGAACTGTTTTCTTCCCCCAAGTCCTTTATGTTTACTTTTCTGTACTGCTCTCTCTACACAGCACAGGCTGCTTTTCCTCTAGCAGAGTTTGTACACTGCCCTGCAGCAACAAGTATGGGATGTGAGAAAGGTGATCGGTGCCCAGGAATCTCAACTGCAGCTTCCAAGTCACTGACTCAAACACATCCTAAAAATTGTTACTAAGCATGAACTTTACTCTTACTTTGCCTCCCAAGGGGAGTAATAATTTGCTCTAAATAATCGCCATATTATCTAATAGAATTCTTGTCTTCTGTTTTATGAACTTTAGCTGAGAAAGGAAATGGACAGCTATCTTCAGTAAGAACTGTTTGAACATCAACAGTAAAGTCATAAAATTGATGAAAACCTGTATTTTCATTCTGGTCGCAAATATTAAGTGCTTTCAAAGACTTCATAGCAGTTTTAATTAAAATAAAGAAAGCAGCAGTGTTTTTCATTTTGACTGTAATAATGAGGATCAGTTTGTGAGTGATTTTACAGCCTGAATCTTAACATCGATTTTCATCACACCTCATTTGCCTGAATGTCGCAGAAATAAAAGCAGTGAGAATATGAATTTGATCCCCTTCCCTCTTTCCTTCTTTCTTTTCACCCAGGAAAAATATGGAGCATAAGAAAACGGTGACACTAAATCATTAGAGAAGCTCGTCTCAAGCATTATGCAACACAGCCTACACTGCAAATTATTTTAAGACTTTTGCATTTCATAGAATCACTAAGGCTGGAAGGGGCCTCTAGAGATCATCTAGTCCAGCCCCCCTGCACACGCAGGGTCACCTAGAGCACGTGGCACAGGACTGCGTCCAAGCGGGTTTTGAAGATCTCGAGAGAAGGAGACTCCACAACCTCTCTGGGCAGCCTGTTCCAGGGCTCTGTCACCCTCACTGTTAAGAAATTTTTCCTTAAGTTCACGTGGAACTTTTGGTGCTTCAGTTTCCAGCCATTTCCTCTAGTTCTGTCAGTGGCCACCACTGAAAAGAGGCCAACACCATCCTCCTCATGGCCTCCTCTGAGGTACTTATTTACACTGATTAGGTCCCTTCTCAGCCCTCTCTTCTCCAGGCTGTTTCAGGATGATTTAAACATCATCTGCTAGAATGCCAGAAAAAAAAATGGCATAAAGACTCTTTCTTTTTAAACTCAAAGGACATTACCATGACAAAAAATATATTTCTTTTATAAAGATCTTCTGTGAAGTATAAATGGCAATATAAGAAACATCAATATAAGAAAACACTTGTATTATTCTGTTTCCACACTCTCTCTGGGCTCAATAATAGTAGTGAGAGCATTTTCACACTTACTTATTCTCAGATAATAACACAATTGATTTTTTTAAAGACAAACTTTAAAACAGTATTTTAACTGAAACTAAATGACTTTATGACACTCTTCTGTGCTTTGAGGGTTCTTTTCTCTCTGGATGAACATTATAAAGAGATTTCAGGACTTATGTTTTATCATTATTGAAGTTGTTATTTAATATTCAAAAAGAAAACATCCCTATGATTAAACATGGTTAGGACAAGAGTAATTTTGGATAAAATACATCATAAAGGTACAGTACTTAAGCCAACATCAAGCACTATTATCAAAAGATGTTCAAAATTCAAATGACATTACAATTAGAGTAGAATTGTTTCTTAAATACTTTCATATTTATAGTCTCAGAATTCATTAAATCATACTAAAATACATTCAAAGGTGTGTGGATTTTTCATTTTTTTTGTTATTTTCTCAGGTTCAAGGCATCATAGAGTTAAGCATAAGCTCAAATATAAATTTTCAGATTAAGAAACAGAGGAATTTCTTCCTTTTTACCTAAATTTGGTTGGCATTTTAGTGCTGTTAAAACTAGCCCATGCCCACTTCATCATTAGCATAGGATTATCAATTAAGTTATTTAAAACTAAGGGAACTCTGTTGCATTTGCAAGATACTTATGATGATATCTTGAAAGATCAATATTTCCTGAGTCGCAGTACAACCTGACAGAACAGCCGATTTCAGCCTTTGCAAATCTCCTCTTTAATCTCTTGCAGCTTCCAAGCAAAATAAAGATAATAATAGCCATCTGCCTCAAAAAACATAAAGATTAATTAAGCACTGTAATATTCATCACATGCTGTACAATAAAATTATTTCCAGGTGCCTTTCTGTACCTCTGCTTTCCTACCTGACGCCACGTGTTCCCACAGTCGGATGTTATGTACATCTCTTCTTTATATTCAACCAGCTGTGACCCCAGGTTACCTGTCCCAAAACAGAAGGATATAACGGTTGCATTTGGGTGGCATTTAAACAGCTGTATTCTCTCCTCTGTCCAAAAGGACTAGAAAAAACGACTGTTGGGTCGAAACAGATTGGATCTAGTAGTGATAACTGTCAGACTGAGAACTTCTCAGGCCACAGCAAGAACTGAATGATCACCAGGCATTTTTGGTTGCACCACCTATACCTTAAAAACATATATATAACCTGTTCTTTTTTCTCTCTTTCTTTATTTTAACATATATGTAGTTGTCTGTAGGTAGGAGCAATGAGGTTTCACTCACACTAAAATGCAGAGGCCAAGCCACATCCTAAAGAAAAAACGAAATGGTTTGTGGAAAGCCCAGACCACTCACTGTTCTTACTGCACAAAGATTCTAAAGATTTTGCCAAAGACACAGTAGCAAGGACTATTCCACCCGCCATAACATTTTGTTCACTCCCTCTGGAACCTTCACTTTGGAGAGCATCCTTAGCCCTACCTCTTCCACAGTGGATGAAACTGCTTTTCCAATAATGACAAATGATCATCCAATAATGACTAGACTGTCAGCCTGCCAAGATAAAGGCTGCTTCAGGATCCTTGACAATATATCTAACCATCAATCAATCACAGATTCCTTTGCTTACATATGCTCCTGCTTGCTTCCTACTATATAGGAGGCAACGACCTTGAGTGAGGGAAGTAAAGAACTTGAATTCATAGTTCAAAAAATGTAAATCCAATGTTCAAAGATTTACTTAAATATTGACTGGGAAGCTACTGAATATTTTGACCAAAAGCACTGAGGAGCAGTAGCTAGCATGCAGCCTGCTGCAAAGCAAACAGAAGTTTTGGAATAAACTTGTGGAAACAGATCTTAACAGATGTAATTTCAAAACCTGAGATCTCTATCTTTTAACAAGCTATATTTCAAACAGCAAACTATTAAAGTACGAGTAAGTTTACAGTGTTGCTGTGAAGAAGCAATCATAGCACGCTATTCCTTCTAAATGATAATCTTCAGGGGATTTTTTGCCTTAAATATGCACTTTGTATGTTTTTAGAGTAAAAAGAAGATAAAAATCATCAGATCCTCTTAAGCAGAATAGATTTGAGCAAAGAAAACACTTGAGATTCGGATAGCAGTACGAAATTTCACTTGTGTGTTATATAAATAGCTGTTTTCACCACTAAAGCAGATCTGTGTGTGCAGATGGATTGTACTCTTTAGTACTGAAAGCTTCTTCAGAGGAATGACTGCATGCTTTGCCCAAAATACACTCTCTGTTTGGACCATCAAGATTCTGCATGCTTCACTGTTTAGTGGTTTAAATTTACATTGTGTAATTCAAAATGCAGTCTAGACAAGATTATAATATTCTTTATGCTGAGTCATAGAACCTCAGGAAGGTAGGAATTAGTACATTTTCTTCAAATGTATTAATGTACTAACACTCCAGAAGATGTCTCTCTGTTTTCCATCTTTCCAACCCACTCCACGCCTTCTCCTTTATGAAATAATTCACCATGGATTTAATTCACTGTGTCATTTTGAAAATGAGCCCATATTCCTCTAGGCAATGATGAGATTTGATAAGCCAATACATTATGAATGAAGTAATGTGATATCCACTAAATATATACCTAAGACTCAAGCTTGTATGGATGAAGAATACCTAACACCTGTAAAAAAAAATGCACCAACATCAGCGTAGACTCTAAGTGCAAGATAACGCTCATTGGTAATACTGGATGCGACATCAGTTGTGCCAAACAAGAAGAGAAACATGTAATGGTGAAGTGAATAGCCCTTATTATTTTCCTGCAATAAGAAGAGAAACATGTAATTGTGAATAGCCCTTATTATTTTCCTGCAAGCATCACCATCTTCAAAACAGGCAGGCTTCCCATCATTCTGCCTGTTGATATGGTCAGTGCAGCTGGGCTAGAGAGGACCATCACTTAGCTCTACAAAAAGATTACTGTTTTTACAGAAGATTGTCTAGCTTTGAGAAAGGTTCTAGTGATACCAGCAATCACAATGAAACTCAGTTCCAGAAATGAATGAAAGCTCCAACCACAAAATCTGTATTAAGCAGAAACAACAAGCAGGGGTAAATAATTTTAAAATCAGATTTGATTTTGGGCTTTATTCTGTCCCATATTCCTTGTCTTTCCTTTACAGTGATGTTGCATTCACTTAGGCTTCTGGTATCAGAGATTTAAAAACAAATTAAATATCATTCAAAAATGAACGTTATTTGAACAGATAGGTCAAAAATGAAAGCTACACATCTGAGCTCATTTGTGTTTTTTTCTCAAATCGAAGGTTGAGACATTTAGAGAAGATTCATGGCCATTTTTTAATTTAGTATCACTTTGAATCCTAAAAACCCACATGAGCACAGCTCAGCAAACAAGATTGGACTTTTCAGAGCCTAACAAATCTCATCAGAGATATCAGCTTTGTGCAGGAGGGCTCCCCACCTGCAAAGATAAATCTGGTCCCTGGAAGGAGATGTGGATAAGAAATCACCTTTGCAGGTGGGAAAGTAAAGTAGCCTGGCTAGAACCAAACTGTCATGATGAATGACCAAGACCACAGATTTTCTCCCCAGTTTAATTGAAAGAAATAAATATCCACATCTCAGAGAGTCAGTAAAGACACTTCTTGAGATATGTAGACCTTGACATCCAAATCTTCAATTTGATAAGCACCTGAATCTGAAGCAGGTATGTGTATCAGAAACCTCTTTAAAAGTCATCAGAATTTTTCCCAATGAGAACATTTTCCTGATATATTCTCTTAAAGAATAGTGCTTTAGAAAAGCAGAATTTCCTGTAGAATTTTTCAAGGAATTCCTACTATAAATGAGAGTAAAATAAATAAAAAAACACACTATCATAAATTTAAAGAAATAGGGAGCAGTTAAAAATCCACATACCTTCCACTAAAATATGCACAGGCATTTCTCTCTCTTTGAGTGACTTCTACGTTCAAGTTTATGCAGTATGATACAAAAATGTACAATGTGAAAAGAAACACAATCAGCAAAAGATGCGTAAGATCGGTTACAAATAACAAAACTATCTGAACTGCAGCTTAGTTAAACAGACATTTGGGCTTCTTAGAGATTGAGAATTGAGATTTAGATTTTCTTGTCTTTTCTGGCTTTTTTTTTTCCCTAAATCCAGTATTCTAAATCTAAATCATTACATTCCAACTTCTTCTTACTAATCACTCACACTTTTTTTTTCCTTTATAGCTTTGTTATGGAGTTCTATATTTCTCTTTAGCAAGTGTGTTTTCTTGTCTATACAAAACATATTCCTTTTTCTCTTGTAGTCTTTTTTTCTCGATATTTGCATAATTTTCACTGTTATGTGCTTCTCTGAATGCATATTCTCATGCTTCTGAAATTAGCTTTTCTTTAGGATAGCTGGGATGAGAAAAACCCACTTTCTTGATGGAATGGAAGCGGTTTTTTTGCTGGTCTATATGTTTCTTCGCATAGATAATTTTAATGAACGTACTGTTAGTTTTGCTCTTGGATAAATGTCTTATTTGCAGTAGGAAACAACCACAAAGACAAGTCTCAGAAGTGACAGAGAGAAGGAAATTTCCTTAGGGACATATGGGGGAATATACCAAGTTTGTTAATCTTAAAATATCTTTGAAAGTTTTTCACCTGGAAAAGTAAAATTGAAGCAAAATTTTGTCCTTGCAAGAACTTACTGGGCTCACCACATATTTGTTTTGAAATCTCTTGCAGCTTCCAAGCAAAATAAAGATAATAATAGCCATCTGCCTCAAAAAACATAAAGATTAATTAAGCACTGTAATATTCATCACATGCTGTACAATAAAATTATTTCCAGGTGCCTTTCTGTACCTCTGCTTTCCTACCTGACGCCACGTGTTCCCACAGTCGGATGTTATGTACATCTCTTCTTTATATTCAACCAGCTGTGACCCCAGGTTACCTGTCCCAAAACAGAAGGATATAACGGTTGCATTTGGGTGGCATTTAAACAGCTGTATTCTCTCCTCTGTCCAAAAGGACTAGAAAAAACGACTGTTGGGTCGAAACAGATTGGATCTAGTAGTGATAACTGTCAGACTGAGAACTTCTCAGGCCACAGCAAGAACTGAATGATCACCAGGCATTTTTGGTTGCACCACCTATACCTTAAAAACATATATATAACCTGTTCTTTTTTCTCTCTTTCTTTATTTTAACATATATGTAGTTGTCTGTAGGTAGGAGCAATGAGGTTTCACTCACACTAAAATGCAGAGGCCAAGCCACATCCTAAAGAAGAAACGAAATGGTTTGTGGAAAGCCCAGACCACTCACTGTTCTTACTGCACAAAGATTCTAAAGATTTTGCCAAAGACACAGTAGCAAGGACTATTCCACCCGCCATAACATTTTGTTCATTCCCTCTGGAACCTTCACTTTGGAGAGCATCCTTAGCCCTACCTCTTCCACAGTGGATGAAACTGCTTTTCCAATAATGACAAATGATCATCCAATAATGACTAGACTGTCAGCCTCCCAAGATAAAGGCTGCTTCAGGATCCTTGACAATATATCTAACCATCAATCAATCACAGATTCCTTTGCTTACATATGCTCCTGCTTGCTTCCTACTATATAGGAGGCAACGACCTTGAGTGAGGGAAGTAAAGAACTTGAATTCATAGTTCAAAAAATGTAAATCCAATGTTCAAAGATTTACTTAAATATTGACTGGGAAGCTACTGAATATTTTGACCAAAAGCACTGAGGAGCAGTAGCTAGCATGCAGCCTGCTGCAAAGCAAACAGAAGTTTTGGAATAAACTTGTGGAAACAGATCTTAACAGATGTAATTTCAAAACCTGAGATCTCTATCTTTTAACAAGCTATATTTCAAACAGCAAACTATTAAAGTACGAGTAAGTTTACAGTGTTGCTGTGAAGAAGCAATCATAGCACGCTATTCCTTCTAAATGATAATCTTCAGGGGATTTTTTGCCTTAAATATGCACTTTGTATGTTTTTAGAGTAAAAAGAAGATAAAAATCATCAGATCCTCTTAAGCAGAATAGATTTGAGCAAAGAAAACACTTGAGATTCGGATAGCAGTACGAAATTTCACTTGTGTGTTATATAAATAGCTGTTTTCACCACTAAAGCAGATCTGTTTGTGCAGATGGATTGTACTCTTTAGTACTGAAAGCTTCTTCAGAGGAATGACTGCATGCTTTGCCCAAAATACACTCTCTGTTTGGACCATCAAGATTCTGCATGCTTCACTGTTTAGTGGTTTAAATTTACATTGTGTAATTCAAAATGCAGTCTAGACAAGATTATAATATTCTTTATGCTGAGTCATAGAACCTCAGGAAGGTAGGAATTAGTACATTTTCTTCAAATGTATTAATGTACTAACACTCCAGAAGATGTCTCTCTGTTTTCCATCTTTCCAACCCACTCCACGCCTTCTCCTTTATGAAATAATTCACCATGGATTTAATTCACTGTGTCATTTTGAAAATGAGCCCATATTCCTCTAGGCAATGATGAGATTTGATAAGCCAATACATTATGAATGAAGTAATGTGATATCCACTAAATATATACCTAAGACTCAAGCTTGTATGGATGAAGAATACCTAACACCTGTAAAAAAAAATGCACCAACATCAGCGTAGACTCTAAGTGCAAGATAACGCTCATTGGTAATACTGGATGCGACATCAGTTGTGCCAAACAAGAAGAGAAACATGTAATGGTGAAGTGAATAGCCCTTATTATTTTCCTGCAAGCATCACCATCTTCAAAACAGGCAGGCTTCCCATCATTCTGCCTGTTGATATGGTCAGTGCAGCTGGGCTAGAGAGGACCATCACTTAGCTCTACAAAAAGATTACTGTTTTTACAGAAGATTGTCTAGCTTTGAGAAAGGTTCTAGTGATACCAGCAATCACAATGAAACTCAGTTCCAGAAATGAATGAAAGCTCCAACCACAAAATCTGTATTAAGCAGAAACAACAAGCAGGGGTAAATAATTTTAAAATCAGATTCGATTTTGGGTTTTATTCTGTCCCATATTCCTTGTCTAAAATCAGATTTGATTTTGGGCTTTATTCTGTCCCATATTCCTTGTCTTTCCTTTACAGTGATGTTGCATTCACTTAGGCTTCTGGTATCAGAGATTTAAAAACAAATTAAATATCATTCAAAAATGAACGTTATTTGAACAGATAGGTCAAAAATGAAAGCTACACATCTGAGGTCAGTTGTGTTTTTTTTTTCTCAAATCGAAGGTTATTTGAGACATTTAAAGAAGATTCATGGCCATTTTTTAATTTAGTATCACTTTGAATCCTAAAAACCCACAACACGAGCACAGGTCAGCAAACAGGATTGGACTTTTCAGAGCCTAACAAATCTCATCAGAGATATCAGCTTTGTGCAGGAGGGCTCCCCACCTGCAAAGATAAATCTGGTCCCTGGAAGGAGATGTGGATAAGAAATCACCTTTGCAGGTGGGAAAGTAAAGTAGCCTGGCTAGAACCAAACTGTCATGATGAATGACCAAGATCACAGATGTTCTCCCCAGTTTAATTGAAAGAAATAAATATTCACATCTCAGAGAGTCAGTAAAGACATTTCTTGAGATATGTAGACCTTGACGTCCAAATCTTCAACTTGATAAGCTCCTGAAGCAGGTATGTGTATCAGAAACCTCTTTAATAGTCACCAGAATTTTTCCCAACAAGAACATTTTCCTGATATATTCTCTTAAAGAATAGTGCTTTAGAAAAGCAGAATTTCCTGTAGAATTTTTCAAGGAATTCCTACTATAAATGAGAGTAAAATAAATAAAAAAACCACTACCATAAATTTAAAGAAATAGCAAGGAGTTAAAAATCCACATATCTCCCACTAAAATATGCATAGGCATTTCTCTCTCTTTGGGTGACTTCTGTGTTCAAGTTTATGAAGTATGATACAAAAATGTACAATGTGAAAAGAAGTATAAGATCAGCAAAAGATGCATAAGATCAGTTACAAATAACAAAACTATCTGAACTGCAGCTTAGTTAAACAGACATTTGGGCTTCTTAGAGATTGAGAATTGAGATTTAGATTTTCTTGTCTTTTCTGGCTTTTTTTTTTCCCTAAATCCAGTATTCTAAATCTAAATCATTACATTCCAACTTCTTCTTACTAATCACTCACACTTTTTTTTTCCTTTATAGCTTTGTTATGGAGTTCTATATTTCTCTTTAGCAAGTGTGTTTTCTTGTCTATACAAAACATATTCCTTTGCTTCTCTTGTAGTCTTTTTTTCTCGATATTTGCATAATTTTCACTGTTATGTGCTTCTCTGAATGCATATTCTCATGCTTCTGAAATTAGCTTTTCTTTAGGATAGCTGGGGATGAGAAAAACCCACTTTCTTGATGGAATGGAAGCGGTTTTTTTGCTGGTCTATATGTTTCTTCGCATAGATAATTTTAATGAACGTACTGTTAGTTTTGCTCTTGGATAAATGTCTTATTTGCAGTAGGAAACAACCACAAAGACAAGTCTCAGAAGTGACAGAGAGAAGGAAATTTCCTTAGGGACATATGGGGGAATATACCAAGTTTGTTAATCTTAAAATATCTTTGAAAGTTTTTCACCTGGAAAAGTAAAATTGGAGTAAAATTTAGTCCTTCCAAGAACTTACTGGGCTCACCACATATTTGTTTTGAAATCTTTCTATTTAATTTAGATCATAGAGAGTTTTAACTTTTCTCCATTGAAGAGTTACATTGTTTTAGCTTTATTTTTTATATTCTAATACAACATACCTTCAAGCATCTTGAGTGCTCTTCTGCTTTTGATACATCTACTTTAAAGTACACAACTTTATATGAAGGCTCAAGCTACCTCACATTGTGTCATACTGCGTTAGTGGATTAAGTCAGCTAACTCAAAAAAAGCATATAAAATGGCACTATATCAACCACTTAGCTAATGAACTGCAAAAAATCCTGAAATCAGTAAAATTGCAAATAAATACCTGCAAAATCATATGAACATTCAAAAAGTACAAGCAAAAACATCTTGCAAGTTTCTGTGCTCTATCTGGGTGAAACTATTATCATGAATGTTACACACAGTAAATGTGGCAAAGGATACAAGTCACACATGCACCAACTGTCACTGCAACCAAGACAAAAAGCCAACACTCAAGCCAAAGGCATTAGGCATCTCTGTAGAGAGACTGATAAAGTATGGAAGAACTTTCGAACTTCATAACTGGAACTGTTCTGTTAAAAAAATGTTGAAACACAATCTGAAGGTGAATTTTGCATCTATCGAAATTCTACCACAGAATTTACCTTACTCATACCCTGCAATTCCCTTCTGTCCTTTCCTTGTTTGCCACTGCCCATCTTTCCATTTCTTCAGTGTTCCCTATCTTATATTCCAATATTTCTATTACTTCCTATCTTATCCACTTAGACAAATTTACCCTCAGAATTTCATTACTTTCTGTTCTTTCTGCCTTGTTTCCTAGAGCCTTGTAAAAATAACCTTAAAGGTGCAGTTTTCAAGTATCATTGAAACAGAACAGGGACTACTCATTCAAGTACTCCCCATCATCTACCAGAGTGTTCTGACTGAACTGCACAGCCACGCAAATTACAGAGGGATCTTTGGTGATTCACATCAAAATCCACTCTTTATTAAAGCTCTAAAATCTGAAGTGACTCCTCAGGTGCATCACTAGAACATGGAGCCTTTTAAATCATTTTAGCAAGTATACATTAGATTTCAAATGCACCTTGAGTAACAAATAACATGAAATACAGGATACTGAAGGTGATTCTGGTTTGTTCTGAAAAAGTTACTGCACCTGGAATAGGTAACCAGTTGTAGATGACATTAGCTGGGGCTGTAAATGGTATCTTTTTAATATAAATTTTAGATCTGCAA